GCATCGTGGCCAACCCCATGCAGGAATTTGTGGGGAGGGCTCCAGACATGGACCACATCCATCACCACCTCTTCCACCGCTACAAGGAGCGGTTTGGGAAGAGCTACAGCAGCGAGGAGGAGCATGAGCATCGCAAGCACGCCTTCATTCATAACATGCGGTACGGGATACCACGGGGATGGGCTGAGGGTGGTGTGGTAGCTGGGGTGGTCCTCATCCCCGGGCATGGTGGGAGATGATGCCAGTGCCAGCTGACGCTGTCCCCACCACGGCGGCAGGTTCGTGCACTCGAGGAACCGCGCCGCGCTCTCCTACACGCTGGCGCTGAACCACCTGGCCGACCGCACGCCCCAGGAACTGGCCGCCCTGCGGGGCCGGCGCCGGAGCGGGGCTCCCAACAATGGGCAGCCCTTCCCCACCGAGCTCTATGCCGGCCTCAACCTGCCCGAGAGCCTCGACTGGCGGCTCTATGGTGAGGAGATAACTGGTGCTACTGGCGGGCGAGCTCGCGGCGTGCATGGGGCTGGGGGTCGGCTGTGCGCCGGGGTCTGTGCGGGGACAGCCAGCAGCCTCCACTGCTCTGGTAAATGTGTCCCCAGGTGCTGTGACCCCCGTGAAGGACCAGGCTGTCTGTGGGTCCTGCTGGAGCTTCGCCACGACGGGCGCAATGGAGGGTGCCCTCTTCCTCAAGGTGCAAGCAGGGCTGTGCCCCACAGGGATGGTCAGGGCACCTGGAGGGTGCCTGGCCTTGTCCCTACAGTGTGTCATCTCCCCACCTCCCAGACCGGCGTGCTGACCCCCCTGTCCCAACAAGTCCTCATCGACTGCTCCTGGGGCTTCGGGAACCAGGCGTGTGATGGGGGCGAGGAGTGGCGAGCCTACGAGTGGGTCATGAAGCACGGTGGCATTGCCAGCACCGAGTCTTACGGGCCCTACCTGGGGCAGGTGAGGGTGGCAGAGCTGCTCAGGGGGGTGCAGTGCCACCCCCTCCCCAGTCCTCCCCCCCAGGCTCTCCCAAATCAGCCATCACCCCTTTGGCAGTGGATGTAGGCTCTACTTTGGTTTACGGATGCTCCATCCAAGCTGCCCTCCTTCCCCCTCCCCGGGGTGGGCTGGACCCCCCCCACCTGCCCTGGGACCCCAGTTCCACCTCAACCTCTCCCCCTAGAACGGCTCACCCCCCGCTGTCGGAGCTGGTGGCCCAGCTTGCCGGCTATGCCAGCGTGGAGCGGGGCAGCGCCGCGGCGCTGAAGGCTGCACTGGTCAAGCACGGCCCCGTGGCCGTCAACATCGACGCTTCACACAAGTCCTTCGCCTTCTACGCCAACGGTGTCTACGAGGAGCCCCACTGCGGTGAGTCTGGCCAAGCCAGGAGGTTCCATGTCCTGCTGGTTGGCTGTGGAATAGACAAAAATATTTGCAGGGTGGGATTTACCTCCCCGCCAAGCTCCTGGCTGGGGGAAACGGGGCCACTCACTGCATCGGGAACGATCTCCAGCTCCAAGGGATGGGGACTGAGATGTTTCCATTTTCTTCTCTCCTCCCGGCCAGGAAATGAGACATTGGCACTGGATCACGCAGTGCTGGCCGTGGGCTATGGGGTCCTGCATGGCAAGAGCTACTGGCTCATCAAGAACTCCTGGTCCACGTACTGGGGCAATGACGGCTACATCCTCATGGCCATGAAGGACAACAACTGTGGTGTGGCTACTGCTGCCTCCTTCCCCATCCTGGCCTGATGAGACACGGCCCCACACCTGCCCTGTCCCCTCCATGTCTCCGTGGGCAGCTCCAGGGGGGCTGGCAGAGGGATGTGGGGCCCCAAGGGGTGGCTGTGGGGCAGAGGGGGGCCTCTCAACTGGGAAGTCAGAGGATGCTCCCAGCCCTTTGGAGAGGAATTTTATGATTTCGGCAATAAAAGCCTGTAGAAGTGATCCTGTCTGACCCAAGTCTGATCCTGTCCTGACTGATCACCTCCTGATGCTGAGGTGTCTTCTGCCAGCCCCACCCCGTCCCCCACCAACCACAGCCCTTGCCGTGACTGTCTTCTGCAGCCCTCTTGGGGGATGAGTTTCACCCAGTGCTCAGCCCAGGCTCACCCCATTTGGCTTATGTGCATCCTAACCCCAGAGCCACTCCCAGAAGTACCAGCACCCCCTTCCCAGCAGTGGGACGGAGCCTAAATCCACTCTCAGAAGCTGTGCTGGGCTCTCCTCTCCCCAGCCAGACTCTGCCCTGTCCTGGCAGCTGGTGTCACACTGGGGACAAGGGAGCTGCCCCTGCCAGGGTGAGCGGTCCCCAGCCTCTCGGAACATCTAGGTCCTCTGCTAAGCCTCTCTCCAGGCTCCTATGTGGGTCAGTGCTTGGTGACTCAGTTTCCCCACCTGTTTAGGGGGAAAGCGGAGCTTCTGGGGCTTTCCTATGCTGCTGCCAACAGCCTCTAGGATGGAGGGAACCCCCATGGATCCAAAGGAGACCCAAAGCTCATTTCATCCAGGATATTTCAGGGTTTTTTTGTCCAACCTCCTGAAGAGTAGTCAGGCTCAGAGCTATGTGCTCCTTTTGTTTCCCTTTGCTCCAGTGCTTTACCCCAAAACTGCACAGCCATGGGGAAGCCTGACCAAGAGCCGGGGGGTTGGCAAGGCCGGTGCTCCTCTTGGAGTGTCCAGGCTGGATGTTGGCATGGAGTGAATGTTCATTCTTGGGGTCCTGGTGCCCTGCTCACCTCCAGCCTGGGGACGGAGCTGGGCAGGCAGCACCAAGTGGGGCAGCCCAGAGCTCCTAGGTGGGAGCTACTGGCACTGCCAGGCTCTGCCTTCCCAATTCCAGAGCCAAATTAACCATCAGGCAGGTGGGGAGGGGAGCCTACAAAAGGGGAAAAATCAGCCTTGGCTTGTATCCATGCATGCAGAGGCTCCGTCTTCCTCCAAAATGGGTTTCTGGTAGCTGAGACGTGGCTTTCCCCACAGCTACACCCTTTTATTTTTTTAACCACCACATTCCCTGCTGCACCCAGGGAGCAGCGCGTCCTTCCAGGCGATGCGACTGCTCCCGATTGAGGGTGGCAGGTCATAATATTTTCTTGTTTTCTTTCACTTGTTCACCTGCTTATTTTACAATTTGCTGCACTGATTTCTGAAGTGGTCTTTAATCATTCCCAGCAGGGGTGCTGACTCGAATTCACGTCTGGGAGAGAAATGATCACTGCGCAGGAATAATGTGGTTTATTCTGTGGGAGTCCAGGTCTCCAGATCTTTGATTCTCTTGACTGCAGTCAATAAAACATGCTTTGACTTTCAGGGAACCGTGACTTTCAGGCTCCCTTTGGGTAGGCGATGTTCTGAATTTGCTGCTGAACACGCAGGTGGCTTCAAGAGCTGGAGGTTTTGCAGCCCCAGGAAGTGTTTAGCAGGAGCCTGAAATTTTGCATTTGTGGCATTAGGGATAGCAGTTCCGAGCGTGGGTAGTTAAGGATGTCTGGGAATTAAAAAAAAAATTAAAAAAAATCCATTCATTATATTTGAAAAAGGAGAAGATAAGAATGGACAGACCCAAAGAGGGATTTGCTGTTTCCAGGGCCAGCCTTGGGCTCTGGCTCCCAGCCTGGCTGAGCTGCGACCTCCAGACTTCCCTCAACACCCAAACCTCGGAGTCGCTCCAGGTTTTGCAGAGCACAGCAAAGAACAACCGCTCGGAACCTTGCTTTTTTACTGAAAGCAAAGCTGGCCTAAAGGTGTGCGCTGAAGGTTGCCTTTGGAAGAGGCACATTGCCGGCATACCCTGCACTTCCAGCTTGCCAGTCATATAGGGAACTCCCCAAATTTGCTTACCCTGATGGTGAAACATCAGCTGAGGCTGGTGGGTGCTTTATGTGGAGGAAACACTGCCTGGAGAGCAAAAGCTGAGAGGACTGGGCACCTGCCTCCCGTATGTCCCCTTGAGAATCCCATCTTCTTCTTGGTCTGCAGGGTGAAGTAGTTCAAGCTGTCTCCAGAGGTCAGCTTCACGCTGAGAGCACAGGACTGGAGGTAGTCCTCGGTGGTCAGCTTTCAGTCCTGCACTCTATCCTCTATTCAGTATTTCTCATGGTCCTCTGCCACCTTCAGGGTCTCCTCCTTGTTCAGCTGCTGCTTCTTGGCATCTGCCAACCAAGAGGTTGATGCTCAGGTGCTTAAACTGGGCACGTGTAACGTCTGCCTGCAAGTCGATCCCGTCAGAGGCAGCCCAAGCTGACGGTGGCTTTCACGCCGGAGGTGAGAATCTGTTTGGCCACCTCCAAACAGCTCGTCCGTCCTTCCTGATGATCTCTTGATGCTTCTTGAAGAATTCATCCATGAAGATGCCCACCAACTGGTTGTTGAATGCATCGCCTCCCAGGTGAGTGTCTCCAGCCATGACTTTCACCTCAACAATGTCTGTCTATGGTGAAGATGGAGCTGCTGACGCCCTTCCCAGCCCGGATTGAAGATCAGGATATTGTGCTCTCCATCAGGATGATGGAGGCTGTAGGCCAGGGCTGCTGATGTTGTCTCATTGAAGCCCCTCAGCACAGTGATGCCAGCAATTACCCAACATCTTTGGTGGTCTGGCTCTGATGATCAACTCCTCCTGCCTGCCCTGGAGCAACTCATCTGCTGGGACATGGATGGGAACCTTGGGGCGATCCCGGCTCCACACTGGGCTCCGACCCGCCCAGTCTCGCAGAGCCCAGCGCCAGCTGGGACACGGAGAGCGAGCTGAGACACGGCACACCTCCGCCAACAGCTCCCGAGAGGTGTTTTTGTTTCCAGCGAAACGGCCTTTCTGCGGGTGAGAGCATCCAGATCTGCGGGATCAATCTGTCCACACATCCAGAAACTCGGGGTGGGCTGAGTTTGCCAAGCGAAATTATTCTCCGAGGAAAGGCGGCTGGGATTTCAGCTGGGTTTGGCTTTTTCGCCCTGCCCTCGGCTGTCCTGGATCCGGCGGTTCCCTCCGGAGGCAGCTGTGCTCCAGCGCAGACCTCTGCGCGCCGATGCCAGGTGGCCAGAAAATGTGCTCCAGCCCAAAAGCTGGCTGCCTTTCAGTGCTGGGATGAATTATCTGTGAAAACCTCTCACGGCTCGCACAAAACAAGGTAATTATTCAGAAAGCAGGGGACGTGGAGAGAGCCAGAATATGAAAATATTATCTGTTAGTGATTTGCAGAGAACCACAGACAGTGGCAAAGAACAGCAGCTGAATTAAACTTGCTTTGGCAACTTCTTGGCTCCCAAATGCTCCGGAATATCTGGAGGGGCTGATCACGAGCTCCCCACACCCTGGGGAAGGGGCTCCTGGGGGGCCTCGGTCTCCGGAGGCAGATGAGGACGCATGTTGCAGAACCCCAAGGTTTTAGGATGGCAAAGACCATGATCCAGGGGAAACCACCTCACTTTTGCTATTGAATACAATAACTGGAGCTTTTTTGGGGTACAAATGGTTGCATCTGATGTGCTCTGCATGGTTTTCCAAGCTCTGCAAAGCTACAGACTGCGAGGCTATCCTGGAAAATCACTGAGGCAGTGGCTTTTTAAACGTTTCTTACTGCACTTCCTTCGGTAGCAGCTTTACATTTTTTCCTTAGCCAAATGTTTTTCCCTTGGCGACCGTGTCTGCTCTGGCAGGTTTGTTGTTCACATTCTGAAACGCGATCGTTCCTTCTCCTCCAGCTCGAGAGATTTGCAACCACCACCCCCCCGGCTTTGAGGAGGTTTTATTTCTTGTAACGAATCGCTTGCGGCGTTTACGTTTTCCAGGTGCGCTGTCAGCCCTCCACCTCCGCCCCGTTTCCCCCAGAACCTCTCCTCGGAGCATCGCAGCCCCCGAGCAGCGAGGAGGGTTTTGTTTAAAGCCATCCGCCGCCTCTGCCAAGCTCTGCCTCCTGCTTTCACCCACCGGTATTTCCCAATCACAACCTAGCATGCAGCACAATGCAACCAATTTCATGAAATTAAGTATTTCTCCTACACGCAGCATATTTGCCCGGTGATTATAACTAGTCCCCGAGGTAGCCAAGCACAGCAGAATTTCAGTTTAATATGCACACCCACGCAGCCTTACTAAAAACCCAAGACACTCCCCCGGTCCTTCTTGGGAAAAGACTGAGCACTGCAGTGAGCATCTCATATTTCAGCTTCACCACTTGCACAAGCTTGGACCACAAATACTCTGTCATCTGGTGAGGGGAAAAAAAAAAAAAAGTGGGGGAAAGAAGTTTCCCAAAGATTTCAAGGCATCCCTGATGGTCTGAGGGAAGGAAGGGTGTCAGATCACGGGAATGTCAGGCAACACGGCACAACAGGGACCAGATCCCTGGGGAAGGGGCTCCTTAACACAACTGTGGGTTTATTAACACAACTGTGAGTAGTTACAGCCTTTTGTTCGCTCCATCTTGGCTCTACAGAGTGAACTTTTAACTCCAAAATGCTTTAACTCCCCCATTTGTTCAGGCAGGCAGCATAAACGTTAAGCTCACAGCACCTGTTGTGTGTCACATCGCAAGAAATGACAACTACTTGATTAAAAAAAACAAATAATTATTCAATGTGCGTGCACTGTACGATTCGCTCTTGCTGCAGCGACCGGACTCCGACCTCGCACCTGGAACAAAATGAGGGAAAAGTCTTCCCAGAGCCCGAAGCTGCGGACTGCAGCTGTGGCGTAACCCCAGCGAGCTGCAGTGTGCAATGCAGACCCTGCCCCAGACCAGAGGCAGATCCACCCATGCAAGTCACAGTCTTGGCTGTGCCT